TGTCTCTCTAAAATAAGAGAGGGGAAAAAAAAAAGTAAACTTTTTCCAGCATATAATTGATTTCATAACACAGTCTCAACTCAATATGCATACCCAAAACATGCATATTGTATAACATTTACATGTCTTTGATGTGGCAGCTAAAACATTAATGTCTTGTGATGCTCACTACCTGTGTGAGTACAGTTGAATGAATAAGGGGGTGGGAAAAAACCCAACCAAAAACCATGCATTTTTATTCTCCCACACAAACAGGTATACCCAAAACACAAAAGGCCTAATGTTCAAGCACAAACTGCTTTAAAGTTCTCATTTTCCTCTCAAAATTTAGTTTTGTAGTGTCAGGGTCTGCAGACTCCTGAAAGCCTTGGACAGCCCCTGACCCAACATCAAGGGATACAAATGACTATTCCATAGAGAACTAGTTGTGAACTTCTCTGCTACTTCAATCAAAAGCCTAAATTCTCATAATACAGAATAAATTGTGTGTTTCCTAAATATTTTTGCTATTGCGTACCTTATGTACTTATCCCAGTAAATTTAGGAAAGCACTCTGCAGGCATAAGTTTTTGTTACACATTAGTACCCATGTAGCAAAACAGCACTAACTCCCACATAGAATCTCTAAACACTGCCATGTCACAGCTATTAAGAGTAAGTAATTCCACGGTCTCAATAGGAATGTTTGTCAGGATATTAAGAGGACCCACTTATTTATTTATTTATTTATAAAAAACTTATTTATTTATTTATATAAAAAACTTAATGCTCAAGACAGCATTAAGTATCCCACACTGGGTATCAAACATTGTTCACATTTTTTCATATTGTTAAAGACTAGAAAGCTTCAGCCGATCTTCTGAAACACTCTGTATGTCAACATGGGACAAGAATTACTGGATATGTACAACTATGTGAGGAGAGTGATTTGTACAAATATAATTTTGAAAAAAATCACATTATTAGTATTTGGATGAAACTGTAATACTAACAGGAATAGAAACTCTAATGATAGCTCTCCTACCCCCTTTTATTCTTTTATTTTAGCTCTGATTTACTAGCATTAGATAATCACCACACTGTGGCCACAGGAACAGAAATAAGTAAATTATAATCCATCACTTCAGCTTCAGAAAGTGACTGACCATCAGTTGTAAAGCACCACTGACTTCAGGCGGTGTATCAATAAGCAATATAGTAGCTTTTTCTCTCCAGAGCTTAAACAATACTCTTTTACGGTGGCTTTCATTGCAACACCTGAACACCACACCTCTAACAGAAGTAAAGGAAGGAGCTCCTGGCGCTAGCACTGAAGTTTAACCCACCTGCAGGTGGAGAGGAAAAGGGCCAAACTAATCAGACCCACAGTAACTTCCAATTGAGAAACAACTATATGAAGTAGAGCTCTTCTGCATGGAAGTTAGTGCACCTAACACAACCCCTAGAGTATCTTGACTGGCTCTGAGAATGTACACAGGGGACAATTATTTACTGTCTCTTTCCATGCAGAAGCAAGATGACATCAGACGATACCAGCTAGTGACAAAGTGAAAAAAGAAACAAACCACAGAGTAAACCTGAGAAAACCAGTTGCACGCCAAGAGGTTTTACGAAGCTCTAAGTTTATAGCAATTCAAAAAACAGCTGGGCAAATTTATCGGGGGGTAAAGAAATGTGCCATACAAGACCACTGACCACAGAAACAATGACCATGCCCTGCATCCGGAACTGCAAGACACACACAGGAAGCTCAACTACCCGCTTACTCTCTGCTTAGGCGCTTTATTAAGCACGGCCTGGTGGTCTGCTGGGGCTAAACACATTTTATTCGACCTGCTGGACCGCTGTATTTAAGTACGTAATACAGCATCCACTTAACATACGCAAACTAACTACTCCGGTTGTAACTGGGGTAAAATAGTGGTTTTTTAACTTTTCGCCCACTCAATACTGCCACCAACTCAGGGAACTACTTCAGTGCCCCACTTCCCCAGCCAGCATGAACTGGGGACTGCGCCGTCCGCCATCAGCCGCGGGGATATGAGAAGCGCCCAGGGGCCGGCAGCAGC